ACACTGTAGATAAAATCAAATGTGATGTTTTCACTCAGGTGTGGAAATTTTTAGTGCTATATTTTTTTTAAACAAACTGTCAGAATTAAAATTTTCTGAGGATTGGCTGGATGAAACTGCTAGCACTATTGTAGAGTCCATTTTGAAGGCTTTGTTTAGGAAAATCCCTCCATGTATATATTTGTAATATGTTCCTACTGGACTCTTTCTGTGCTACATTTTGTTGGTCTGTTTTAATACCATTTCGGGATGGTTAATAATTATATTTTGTTATAATTTCTACTTTTGTACCCTTATTGGAGTTTCTGTGTTTTCTACTGAACTGTATTATGTTATTTAAGTTGATACTTAATAATGGCTTCAGTCATATCGGATTTGATACCCCTGGCGGCTGAAGCGTTCATTTGGACGGAAGGGTGCAATTTCGGACTTAAACGGAAGAATTCTTCCAGAATCGGAAACAGACTGTGTTACTTTGGAGGGGAGAACAGTGTAATAAATGTTTAGGTAACTATCCGTACCTTTTAATTAATAGAACCGTTTTCTTACCAAGATAAATTGCTTTCTTTTTCTGGATATCCGGGCAAGGCGCGTATCTGAACTTCTAGAACTGTTTTTTTCAGAATCCACTCTAAACCCTACACTATAAGATAAGTAACTGACTCTCATTTGTTCACAGAATTGTCCATCAACTAAGAAATCCACCAATGTATCAAACGAATTCCCCCATAGATCACATAATGTGAAAACGTATTTCAGTATTCAGCGGGTCTCAGTCATGTTGAATGCTTCAGAAAGTAGTTCCGTTTTCTGCGACCGTACATGCAACCTGTTTTCAAAGCAGAGCCGCCGGACTCAAAAGGTCATCCTTATCAGTTGAAGAGTCAGACCGACTAAAGGGGCTGGGTGTCCTCACACGTGTGAAATATTCCCGCTGGGCATCTCCTGTTGGTGGTATTTAAAAAATCAACCTTTCCCTACGATCATGCGATAACTTCTCAACAGGTTTGATGAATTGATCAGACGCTCATTCGTATCTGCTTCCTACCACAAAAGATAATTTTGTAAAACCTAATGCCGGAAAGTATTTATTACTCTTGGACTGAGCGGGAGCATACCTTCACATCATCCCCACAAACTGTTGTGTCCGTAAAAAAGGTTGCCCTCCGGTGTGAAGATAGCCCGAACAACTTATGGATGTTGTGGGAGGTGGAATACCAGGGGTTTCTTCCTACTTGGATGAATTCGTGGTTCCCAAAACTAGTCGGAAGGAACTGTCCTGCAAGCTTGACACTTTTTTTTGCTGAACCTAAATCAACCTGGTCTCCACTGACGTGAAGATAAGTTCAGATGTTGCACACAAGCCGTCTAATACCTTGAGTTTCTGAGAGACGAAGGCGGTGTAGCAGCGATCTTGATAATAACAGTGCTGTTAGTTTCCAGAAACATTAGAGTGACTAGCTTACATGTCTTTTCTGGTAGTAAAATTTAGGCTATTCGAAATGCTTCACGAACACCCACACGGATAGGAAGCATTTGAAATCAGACCGATCAAGAATTTCCACAAAAAGCACACTAATTGATGTTTCACATGTTTTAGGTACAGATGGTCCAATCTGGAGATGTTAATTCATGAGAGAGTACATATTTATTGTCTCCTTTTTACTGAAAGTATGCAGTGATCATTTCGACTGAGAGAGAATTTAAATGAGCGAAAGTAGAATCGTAACTGAATCTGCACTTTTTGATGTGCAGTTATTAGAGGATTAGCTAGCATATTATAGCGATGATATTCTAGCAAGGGTTAGAGTTAGGGCGACTTGGTGTACTTAATATCGTGGATGCCAGATGACCGTTTATTTACCCATCAACAAACAGGAATTGTTAGTTTATTTTCATAACTAATTGTAGTTATGCCATATTTAACCAATCGAAATGTGGTTTAAGCGCCCACTACGTGATCTGATCTGATGTGTCTGTAAGCCTTCTTTGTTGTAAATGACCCTTAAATTGATTGACATTATTATCTTATTATATTGATGTGACTCATAGTTTTATTCATTTCTAAAGACACACTATATTGGTCGATATGTCTGCTCGTCTTAATTGGTCATTGTAATTTCCTTATTTATTGTAGTAATTTAATTGTTCTTGTGTTTAGAAACAGATAAAGTTTAATGCAGAAGTTGATCTTGTTTTGACTATAGCTTTCCCATAGACTCTGTGCTCGCCAATATTGCTTTTACAGTTCTAGCAGTACACCTGTAGGACAAATTAAATCTTACAGGAATAATGATAAAAAATCTCCCTCTGTAAGATTTTTTTAATAGCCATATAACCAAAATTAGTTTCTGTCATCAAAAGCCGAATACGGATTAAGTTGGATGATTTTCTTTCAAGCAATCGTTCACGCAAACAGACATGAGAACGAAAAGCTTACAAGCAAAGCTAAGCAAGGTGGAGAATGTGAGCGAGCCAACTCAGTATAATGAGGTAACACTAAGCCAGATATACGATAAGCGAAGTAAGCAGTACACATACGATTAAAAACAATCAAGATGAAAGCAAATAAGTGACAAGGTAACTCAAGAAAAATGGACTAATTAATTTGTCCAAAGACTGAGACAAACCCTGTGGGATCGAAATAAATGTTCACTCACAACGATACTTTCAATGATAATTCAGTGGAGATAACGTAAACTCCTAACCTAAAGATATCACTGATAACCAGGGCTTGGCATCGCTTTTATTTGTGATCAAAGATCCAAAATGCAGTCAAACCAAATGTCAGGAAAGAAGGAGTTCTGAGGTATGTCTGAAGGTTATGTGTTTAGAAGTGTTCAATCCGAACTGTCTAGTTGTTGCGAGGTTTTGGTAGCACAATATATTGGGTGTTGATGTGGTACAGATACGTTATCAAGTGCATTGAGTTAGAATGTTTCCAGCAAAATTAACGAGGTCAGGACTAATGCTGAAGACCTACAAGTCTACTGAGTCTGGGGAAATCTTTGCCGGTACAAATCAGTGCACAGATCTCGAGAAACAGTTTTCGCTATCCTTCATCAGAATGTTTTGAAGTTCGAAAATTTCAAATTTTATCGAGCTTGGTGTTTTCAAGGTTGTCCATCGAGGTTCACAATGTTGTTGCATCCCCTCTCCTTAAAAGGGACGCAAATCTCCGGGATTAGGTGCAGCGACGAGCAACTAAATGGGTGATAGACTTGAAGAACAAACAGTAAAAAGATCGACTTCATCATCTGAGATTATTCTGTCTGAGTTACACGAGGATCAGAAGTGATCCGATTACAGTATACAATAGCTTGAGCACGCCAAATCAGCCCAACATGAGCACCATACCCAAGGCATCACCGCCAGACCCATCGAGGTAATTCTCATGAAATTGCGCATCAAAGAGAAAAAACCAAGGTTTGTGCATACGTTCTCTCATTAAGAGTTGTTTCAACTTGGAATGCTCTCCCAGTCGAGGTGACGGCAGCCATCCTCGGTGGATATCTTCAAGAAGAGATTTGATAAACACGTACTCACATATGTAATATCATTTCCCTCTTGGACCAGCTTTGTTTGATGCTTGTCTCGAAACTTGCCAGCTGTTATTATTTTAATTTCCTCAGATCTCTAACCTATTCTTCTCGGTTATTATCACCTCTTCCTCACCCTTTCTTACGATTCGGTCCTCTCGTACAATCTTCATTACCAATTAATTAACTTATCTATTCATATTTTTACTTCGTTCTGAAATCTACTTATAAGCATTGGAATTTTTTCCTTGCCATTCCCAGCAGTGCAACTAACCGATCTCCCGTCTGGTAATGTGATAGATGCCGGTGTCCAGAAACTTAAATTCTCCCTGACAATGCACTTCAGTAAATCACGGTATGTGAATTCATAAATAACCGCCAGTTGACTAGAAGTTTTGCAGTCGAGTTGTAAGAACAAGAATCAGGCACAAAAATTCAGTTGGTTTATAGCAGCTAGTGAAAATGATATTGAATACTGGATGTTGCCTTTGTTTTAGTCCGTGCTGACATAATTTACCGCCGATTGTTATTAAGAGGATGTATCGTAGACCACAATTTGACAGACTCAATCCTCGTAATGTTCTCCCAAGTCGACACACTTTGTTTATTAGAGGACTTCCAGGAACAACAGATGTAACTAAAGTGAAGTAAGTCATTCGGTATTTAGCTAATGTTCAGGGACTTTTTCTGTAATGAAACTAATTCCAGGTGCTCTGTAGAATTTTTCTCTACTTCAGAGGATAAAAAGAGATTCTCAGTAGCTATACGATTCAAGTCACACGAGATTGCCAGCGAAATGCTCCGTCGGTAAGCTTCATTTTTATTTAATTGGCAGACACAATGGTAAAACAATGTTTGGTTATCCTGTAGAGCTTACTTGGTTCAAGGATCTCAAAAAAGCCAGGGCAAAGAGTAAATTGCAAAATTCATCCGAAGTTGCTTTTGCAGTGTACGAGGAGCGGCGTCAGGTTAGGCGCTTTCCTCCAAATCAGCGCGGCTTTCGGGGCCTGGATAAGAGTATTCCATCCCCTGGGAACTATGGTGATGCTAGAAGGATTCGGACGGGTTCATCCTCCTCTGGTGGTCGAGGGTATAGAGAAAACGGTAGAGATCGTAGAAGTATGGACCGCAGAAGTGCAGATCATAGGAGCCCAGATCGCAGAAGCACAGACAGGAGAAGCACAGATCGAAGAAGCGCAGAACGTAGTACAGACCGAAGAAGTACGGAACGAAGGAGTGTATCAAGAAGTCGGTCATTCACGGGGTCATCGTCCAGAAGCGCTAGTAATTCGCGCGGATCCCAGTCAAGATCAATGTCTCGTGCAAGGTAACTTACCTCACACATTTGTAGTATATATAAAGTCGCTCTTATCGAACTCGGCAGTTCCAGTTTTACATATAGCTCTCATCAGAAGGCCTGGGTATGTCTTCTGTTGTCAGTGACTGGCAACAAGTCCCAGGTTTTGTTTGCTGAAATAGTTTGCAGGGACTACAAATTTGTGAAATGTGCTTATAGAGTACTGTATTCTTTGAGCGTATCTACGAACGCCGTTCGGATGTGAAATTTGAAGCATTGAATGTGTTATAAAAATGCTGTTAGTGGGTCTAAACAAGTTCGTGAATTTGGGAGCAACTGATTTAGGCACTTGTAAAAAGAGAATCTTTCGTCTTGATATTGGGTTGGATTGTAGATAGTCAGCAACAGCAATACATTAGGTCCACTGACTCGTAGTAACAAGTCCGGTTGACTAGATTGCCAGAAGAATATTTGGTGGGAGGTAATCCACTAACAGTACTCGCTAATCTTGTAACTTATTAAAGGTATGTGTGAATTTACCTAATAATCCCGAGGCTTTTTATGTATCCGAATATATTTCATTAAAGGTCATTCTTCACCCTACACATTATTCGAGCTGGCGAAATATCATGAGTACTATTCCATACATTTTCAAGGATTACTTACTCCTGTAACCCCTAGTAGAGCGAAAGCCACTGACCGGCATTCTGTAATCTCATCTATCCTGGGTTTACCATTCCAGTTTTGTTCAATTCTTGCTCATTCTCATGTTTGTCTCCATTTCTTGGCGCAATGTACTCCTTGGCCATCTTTTCCTTTGACCCAAGTGAGATCTTGTCTTGTTACGCAGTTTGGTGCTTTCCGCAATATGTCCAATCCACTTCCAGAGCCTCCTAATTTCTCCCTCTGGGATCTGGTTTGTTCTCCCCTACAGTATCTTGAAGCTGTTAGTGTCTGACCGGCGAATCCGAAGTATTTTGCGTCGACAACTGTTAATAAATATTTATATCTTGTGGATGACGGCTTTGGTAGTTTTCCAAGTTTCCGCTCCATACAGTAGATCTGTCGTGATATATGTATTGACATTTTGACTTAGGTGTTGGCTGACAGTTGTTTTGAGTTTTAGTTGTTCAATTGTAGAAATGCTGCTCTCGCTTTGCCGATCTACTCCTTCACAACTGCATCAGACCCACTTTGCTAGTCAACGATTCTGCCTGAATACGTAAAGCTTTTTACGCCCTCCGAGGCATCTCCGTCAAGAATCGTTTGGTTGGCGAGTGTTGTGTTCTATCGCAGAATCTTGCCTTTTCCCCTGTGTATGTTGTGACCTGCTGCTGCTCTGGTCTTCCTCTCTTGCATTTGCTGTCGCGTGTGCGATAGAAGTCAGATCATCTGCGAAGTCTGTACCGTCTAGATGCTTCCTGGCTGTCCAATATATACCGTTCTTCCCCCCAGACGATGTCTTCACAATCCAGTCGATCACCAGGAGGAAAAGAAAGGGTGAGAGTAAGCAACCTTTCCTGACACCGGTCTTCACCTCAGGCAAGTCTGTCAACTGTCCTCCATGCACGATTTCGCAGTGTGGTCCATCGTAAGAATTCCGTATGATGCTGACTATCTTCCCAGGTACGCCGTAGTGTCAAGGAAGCCTCCATGGTGTTTTCCTGTCCATGCTATCAAATGCTTTCTCGTAGAGTGGTGAGTTCCATTCAATTGATTGTTACACAATGATCTGTAATGTTGCAATTTCGTCAATACACGATTGGTGCTTATGGGATCCAGCCCCAGCTAGAATGTTGTCTAGTCCCGTTGCTTTGACGCTCTTGATTTGTCTGGTGGCCATACTGGTCTCATCAATTGTTAGTAGGTCAACATCGATCAGGAGGTTCGTGGATGCTGCTTCGATGTAGGGTGGGTTGAGTGAGGCTGGTCGACTCAAGAGTTCGTAATAGTGCTCTACACATCTGTATCGCTGCTCTTCAGTGTTGCTGATTACTTTTCCTTCCTTGCTTCTCGCTGGTTCTGGTTTACGATAGTTTCCAGCAAGCTTCTTTGTTGTATCGTACAGTCGTCCCAAGTTTTCTTCTCTTGCAGTCTTTCAAGGATAACTATAAGTAATGTTAGATAGACTTCACGTGGGGGTTTTATGCGGAACGTAAAACTAAAAAATGTATTAGTCTATCAGAAAAATCTGGGGGTTTATGGATATATGAGTAGCTGGTCCGTCCGGCAAGAAATAATTGTTGTAGGTTTTGTGAAATTATTGTTTAGACGTCGAGAATACCAGTATTGTCGTAAATTATTAAGTTTGGAGTAACTTGAAAAATTATTTGACTCATAATGACTTCCACGATTTCATTGATAAAATTGTTTTGCTTCTAGACATTCCTTGCCTTCAAATCCTGGTGATTCAATGCATGCAAGTGAATCTGAATTTAATGGTCGCATGTACGACGATCGACGTTCATCACGCAATCGCTCTCGCCATTCTCATGATCGAAGTAGTAGCAGTAGTCGGTCTTCAGAGGGGCGAAAGCGTCAAGGTTCATCCAAACGTCGCTCGTCGAATAGAAATAATGGGCAATATGATCAAAGCGCAGATGAAAACTCATCTCCGGACTATCAGATACGAAGAAATGAAGTTTCAAGCAAGTTTCTGCTTTTTTCAGGCTAACGTAAAACAAAGTTGTCATTTTTGTAATTTAGTGCATCCTCAGTAGCTTTGTTCCTAAATATGACATCACCGTGCTTTTATCAGTTCGTTTCTTGTATTCTCCAGGATCACCCTCAATGAGCGAACGAAACATTGCTTTCTCCAATGCTCCTGCCCCCAATCCGGAGGATGGATCTTCTCTGGTAAGTGGACTAATACAACTAAGACGCCATGTCCAACAGGGTTTTGAACAGACATCTGTCCGAGGCAACAGTTTTTCCAGGAGGGCCCGGCACTCATCAGAAAATTCATCTTCAGGTGCTTCAGTTGCCAGTTCCAATGGTGCTTTTGATTCTCCGAGAAATCGCAGTGGACGCAAACGAATGCATTCAATTTCACCTTATAATGATCGTAATCGTAACATGAAATCTAAGACTGAAGCTGATGATGAGAAAAACCAGTCTGCAGTTGAGTCTCAAAAACGTAGGAAAACAAAGAATATTCACTCACCAGCCAACAAGTAATTTAATTTTTAGTTTCTAAAATGTTATACCTTAATTTGTGGTCATTTTTATTGCTTATTCATATCTTTCTCAACTCATTACAATTACACCCAACCGGCTATGCGGACTTCAGTGTATAACTAAATCGGCAGTTAACTGGCCATGATAGTTTACTAATTGTTTTTGTATACGCCGTAGTGATCAGAAGTCTCGATGGTTGGTCGTAACTGTCCTCCAACTTCCACTTACACTTATCGGTACGCAGAAGTTACATAAAGTATTTTAATTCACTGATCAGGTACGTGATTCGAGACTACATGCATTGTGGAAGGTTAGTAGTTTCGTTCTGTTAATCAAGTCAAAGTGTATGAAAGCTAGATCAAACTTGTAATCTGATTCCTGAGCCGAGTACCTAGAGCAAGTGGTTGCTTTAGTTTATATTTTGTTATACTCCATAGACCGGACTCAGGAAAATAAATGGATACAAAAGTGATTTCTAGTTGTTTTATTTACGTAGAACTTTTGTGACACGTTTTTGAATACATTTTTCATTAGTAACACAGAATCTCCTGAGCCGCCCCATACGCGTAGCAAAACCCAGCGAAACAGTCTTCAAAAAACTTCAGGAGCTGAAAACTCAACAACCGCCCGTCAAGCAAACGCCAATCGGAAACAACGATCAAGTGTCATTAAAGCAAATCAAAAGTCCTCAACTAAAAATTCGTCTCCGCCAATTGAAAAAAGTACTTCGAAAAATAGCCACAATTCGCGACGCTCTGATACTGCACGTTCTCCACTGTCTGTAGCGTCGCGTGCAACCAAGCGTTGGCGAACTCCAGAAGATGAAGTTAACGATGATAACTCACATAAAGAGGAAAAATGGCCTTCAGCTATCAGTAAATCGGCTAAGCTAAAGAAAAAGTCTGTCATTTCATCGGCTAATAATTCTAGCGATAATGAGCACTCTGATACTTCAAAATTTGATGGTAGTCAAGTGACGATGTCAAGAAATAGCAATATTAAAGCAAAAGAATCCTCGAAACCTTTACTTAAAAAGTCCAATTGCTCGTCCTCAAACAGTAAGTTAAATTGATCTTTTGTTGTTAGTTTTTCCCACATCTTGAATTGTAGTATAAGGGCCACAATAACCTACCGGATTCTTTGTTGAATTACAAAAACATTGTGAAGTCGTTTGGCTATTTTGTTGTTTTCCCATGTATCATTTTTTCGTACAAAACCTTGGATTTTCCAAAATTCGGTTTCTCATTATTTAAGATAACTTGAAACCTAGACATCACTTCCTGAAATGTAATACTTGCCATCTCATCTCAAGTCTTAAGTTTCTTTTCGTCAGTAGGAAAAGTGAAACAATTTGATTCTTGTTTCCAAATGATATACGCAGTCATCTACTTTGATGTTTACCTGATTTGCTGATTGATGACATCGATTAAATTCTTCCAGTCACTCAAACGCTAGTTTTTTCGATGTTTTTAATGATAACTGACTACATGTAGAAATAGCCATTATTTCAAAACTTGCAATATGGTTATTAACTTTGTTAAAACAATGTGACATCGATTTAGCGATTGTCGACATTTTAAATGTCCATTCATACCATTTTGAGCACGAACAATTACTGAGTCTATTATTAATACATAGAATTCTGAGAAAATTTGTTCAAAGGAATGTTAATGTTTTGCTTGTCTAGCTACTGAATGAACTTACAAGAAGATAATTCACGTCATATAAATACTATAGTCTTTAAATACGTGATAAGACTGAATATTTCCTGTTTTCGAGGTCAATTAGTCAAATAAATTATACATTAAGAGCTATTAAACCTAATATTGATTAGATTTTATAAATTGCGGGATCAGTACCCCTTAACCCTGCGGTCTCTATAAGTTATTATCTTGTTAAAAAACATTCAAATGACAACCTGATCTGCAATTAGTGACGATCGAAATCAGTTTTCACGTGGTTGGAATCGTAAGTTGTTACTTCATACAATCCCACTCAATTCCATCTTATTCCTAATTAGACTTTATTTTGTCCGAAATGATGTAAATCATTTATTACTTTTGGTCTTTTTTGTTTAACTTTAAAAACATTAGTATTTTAATCGTTTCACTTGAACAATAGCATTTATGAGAATCAGCAGGACAGAATTCCAACCATATTCAATTTTCTGCTGCCAAATATATAAATCAGTTGGAAATTAACAAGAATGTATTAAAACCTCTGTTGTTATTGGTCAGTGCATTTAACCAAATAAATAAACTAGTGGATTCGATACCTCGTATATAATGGTTAATGAACGGATACTTTGATCCTGATGTCTGATTAAATAAATTTTATTTATTTATAAATCAAGGTAGATTCATCTGTACTAAGAGGAAAATCAATGCATATGCAGCTTCTTATCAGTACTTTATTTTGTACTGCACTCAATTGCATATTACATAACATGCAATATGTATGGCAATTTTCATGAAATATTCATTCGGTAGGTCTTATAGACACAGTAGACCTTCAGATTTTCAGTCTACTTATGTAAGTCAACCAGTAGAAATTCAAAAGTTAGCTATTGTATGTTTACACATTGTGCGGATAAATAAGTTTTGTTGAATATAAAGTTCTTGTATATTCTGTTCTTGAAAGAACTGAGCGCTTTTTTCTAGGTCGTATTTGTTTGTGATTGGGAACTGATTAGTTGTAGTTATAATTCATTGCCTATGGCGCGTCACAATGAAGTTCATTAGTATAAAGGATAACCAAGTAGTCTGCAAAATGCAAACCACAGTTTTTTTTGTCACGTAAATATAAATTCAATGCGTAGTTGCATTAGGTTTCGTCCATTCATCATCTGAGTAACATGTGTGCATGCAGTTAACCGCTTCCGAAGAGCTTATAAGTTCCCTAAAATTTCTGTTTTATACAAAATAAAAGATTGGCCCGAAGAGCTAGGCTTTAAAATCACCAATTATAACTCAAAGAAATATCCATTATAAGACAGCTAAACTATAAACATAAAGTGGTATCTCTTGCCATACTAAATGCTGTAGTTTCAAGGCATATTCACTTACAAGATTTTCTTGGTCTTCCTATCATAATTCAGATTTTATGTTATGATCTTATGATGACTTTGTTTTCAGTTGTCTTATTAAATATTTGTCAATTTTCGGGCTTAGTTAAGTAATGTTTATGCTTAAGATGAAATATACATCTAATCGGTGCATTTGTTTTCATGTTCCACAAATCTCATTAAAATTTTAATATTCTTACACTTCATACATTCAGTCACGGTTGCACTAACTTACTACTTAAACCAAGTGAAGGAGTGGGTTTAAACCTGTGAAATACCGATTGAAGGCTGAATGGTCTAACTATACTCAAACACCATTCCATTACGAAGCTAATTCTCAATAATGGTATGTATTCGATAAGTCGGGTTCCCATCATGTGTAGGCGACCAGTCTCTTATATGCTAAATAAACTTTAAAGACGAATTATTTTTTAGCAGATTCTTGGGGGGCTGCTAATGTGTCATGTATTACTTCTGTATTCTAGATAATAATCAGTCAAATACTGTCGGCTCTGCATCGTCTGTCAATAATGAAGAAAAACAGTCAGGTGATTGTTCAGATGATGTAATGAGTCTGATTCGTGATCGCAAAAACTCATTGGCAGAGGTAACTATACATTCTTTATACTTTATCATATTATAAGGATTATAAACGGGATTGCGAGGCATTCACTACAGTCGTTCGCATGCTAATAAGGTAACTTTTATTTTTGTTCGTTATGTGTTCTTTCTCTTACGCTTAAATCTAATATGAATCTGTGCTTTGGCAATTTTAGCATTACATGGCAATATTCTGTCTACGGATAAGGGCTGATTTCTTACCCTCAGAGTATGGAACAGTGAATTGATTTATAAATAATGGATATTAATATGAATACTTACGTTAGATGCCAGCCAATATGTCTGAGACTTGTACGGTGCCTACCTGTTAACGGGTCATATGCTGGTTGTGTAATTTATATATACACTCAACTACGCCTACGATTCCAGTTGGCGTTTGCTCTTGTTTAGAATGTTTTAACTGGTCAGACAACTGTAAATTGGGTGCTTACTTTCATCCTCGTTCGTGTTTTATCGAACCTGGCAATAATCTATATTTTACCTCGATTGGCTGATGATTTTCACATTATTCGTGTTGCTCGTTATGATGCTGCAATTATTGAATTGTCGCCATCCATTGTCTACTTTATGCATTAATCGTTTTATTCTAATGTCAATGTGTAAAACTACTGTTTTCTGCAAAAGTAAGTGGCTCAATTCTTTATTTATTTTTCCTTACATTGCGCAGTAGCTGTCTCTCCCGACGCCTGTATGTCGGTAATTGACATGATGGTATACTTGCTACACATGGTAAATGAGAAGTTTCTGCACCGATTGCTGAGTCTGTTATAATGAGTTCCTGTGGGGTCAAAGTCCGATGCTCAATCTCACAATACAAAAATGTCTTATATTTTCCTATCTCAAATATAATTTGATTCTTGGAGGGATATAATTCATCTTTTGGGTTGGATAGTGTTAGATCTACTTACAGTATTTTATGTAAGGTTCATCAAAGTCTCTAACTAGATGGTTAAAACATCAGCGTTTTAATACATATGACTTTCTATAAACATATTACCCAACAGTACTGTCTATCAAGTGACGTCGAACAATGTTAAGCCTAAAACTTGATGTCTGGATGCACATTTGTCTGTCTGATCAAAGTACAAATACATTCCTCAGAGCTCTACTTTGCATGAACTTACCGATGTGAATCGTTGCCTATGAAACTAAGGAACGTGCTTGGGATTATAGTCATCAATGTAGTCAGCCTTGCTAGCCTACAATGGAATCAATGAGTGACTTCGATTTTAGGCACAAAGTACTGTTTAATGGTAATTAAACGCTTAGATAGATGTTTTTACTTCCATCTTCCACTCTGTCGTGTTATACTGACTATGTCAATGTAGGTTAAGAAAAGCGGCATCAAAAAATTGTATGTTTAGTCATTAGCTGCTAGTCCAGGCGATGTAAAGAAATTCAGACTTCCTGATTGGTTGCAGTAACGCATTTCCTTTTATTCTCTCTCCATTCAGATCTTGATCGTAGTATTACAATACCACTTCTTTGTAATTTTTTGGGCTTCCATTTTTCTCGGTTTTCAACTAGCTATTGCTTTCATTTCTTAACTTTGCCGCTTGTTGGTTCCCTCTGATAATAAGAAAAGGCAAGATGTGATTTGTAACAGTGCAATGTCCTGTACTCTGTATACTTGTCTACTTGTGTATTTTATGTTTCGAAGTAAAACTAACGCAACAGGATTAAATTTCTCTCGGTGTTCAGTATTCGGACTACAATTATCTTGTTCATTCCGTTTTTCATAAGGGTTCTCGTCATTTTTTAAATTATCATTCGGGTTTCTCGTTGTTCCAGCGATCACATTAATGTGATGGGCATAAATTTTCTCATCTGGTCTGGTACACGGCCTTTTTCAAGTTTTTTAACTTGTTTGTTTTAAATGAATTCAGAATTTTTCCATTTTAGTAGTGACCTGTTATAATGGTAAGATTGTTAAATGAAAAATTGTTTGAAATCGTTTTTTTTTACCAAAAAACTTCAAGTATCGATTATTTCTTCCTCGTTAAAAGGTGTCCATCCTTACTATCCATATTTTTCAGCAAAGATCAAGATCTTGAAGGTCGTCTTATGCCGATGCTCAAAGAAATATTACATGAACGAGGTCAACGGTGCATAGAAGATTTGCGAACATTTATTTCAGATCATCAAGTCAATGAATCAAACACGAATGAACTTAAAGAGAAAAATCATTCTGATTAGTTTTAAATCGACTTCCTTAAAGCTCATGTATATTAATTTCTCTTGTTCATTCTCTTACGGCATTTAGCTAAGTTCACGTATCACTGTATGGAAATCATTGTTTGTAATACAATTAAGTCCGTAACTATCTGTTTCATTGATGATTTCTAAAAAAATACAAACGTTTATGATTCTCCGATCACAGTTGCAATACAGTTGTTTTTCTTGGAATAAAATACACCAAATTTTGGTTTCTTATGCAAACAACTTGTCTAACAAAAATGTTTAATCACAAATATCAATAAAAAAATTCAAGAATCACACATTAAAATTTATTATTAGTTATCTTTACACGTCGAAGATATATACATTTAATCATGTTTGTTGGTTTTTAAGTTGACCTGTGTTTAGGGTGTCCATCGATGAAGAGACATCATCCATAAATGGAATTGCTGTCGAGTCATACCATTTCTTGTTTTCGGGGTTTCCTATCGAAAGGAAAAGGTATGAATATGTTCTTTATGATTTACTCTTGAACTTACGTGTCGGGACTTTTCTAATCCTATCAGAGGGGTGACCTGTTGTCGATTGTTGCTGCATATCACATTTAGGTTCACTATGGTTGACACTAATTATGGGCGAATAATTTCCTTTCCATTCTACCTATAATATTGAATAAAAGATTGAGCTTTCATTGGTCTGAATTTACAAAATATCGTCTGAAGAAGTATTACAAATCTCCAGCTACAACGTACAGGTTGCCATACTGCGGTAGCACAGAGATGCGATCGTCGATTCAAATCCCATAGTGTAAGAGGTAGTACAGGTATGAGCAGTATTCGGAGAGATCTCGGTCTGAAGATATTATTCAAAAAGTGTGACAGTGAAATAGGAGAGAAAGATGAAGGTCATGAGGAGTTTAGATTAGGACTTGGGGCACACAAAAATGAATGAATCTGCGCCATTGCAAACGATTTTGAGCCGTGTCATTCGAGGTCTCTAACCATCGATGGAGAGCCTGTACAAGGTAATTTACTTCTTTGTTACTCCTTTCAGTGACAGACACTGCCATGGAACCTCACGTCCACACAGTCAAATGTAGCTTTTAGGTTGAGCAATACTACCATTGTGGGACATCTGAACGAGTGCCTATGTTCCACGACCTGTCGTAGTGTGAGTATCTGATCTATGCATCCACATACAGGTTGAAAACCAGCCCTGTTTTCTCTAGTTAGGCGTCGGATTATTATTGAAGCCAATATTTCAGATATATTAGTTATACTGATTCATTTGTGATGGTCAAAAGGGGCCTATTGTCCTTTTTTGTAGATTAGGACAATCAGTGGTTGAGACCAGTTAGGTGGTATTACGTCCAGTTCCCAGATTCTGCATAAGATCTCAGTCAATCTCACTGCTGAAACTGGAGCTTCCGCCCTAAAATATCTCGGGTCAATCCATCAGGCCCTGATGCTCCCTCTGCCTTCAGATTTCCCAGAGCTTTTTCGAATTCATTGAGTTATCTAGTATGTGTGATTGTATTGTCATCAAGGAGAACTCCATATTATCCTTTTGGGTACTTTGGTTTCGGATCATGGTTTTATGAGCGTGTCTTGTCCTTTACACCTACTAAAAATAAGCTAATTTTACATGGGAATTGTAGTTTATTTCGGTGGTAATTTTCAGTTATAGGTCGGTTGTTATCCTCTAATATTTCTGAATGATTGTGAAGCATAAGATGTTCATTAAGCAGTCGTAGTTGTCGATCCCTACGCTGGTACAATTTGCTCGGCAATATCATATGTTCTCTCTTCTGTCTGATATACTCGAAATTTAGTCATATCCTTGGTAAAGTTTGTTAACTATCGTTCTTGTAGAGGAACCTATTTGATCAATCTTGTGATTACGAGTAAATTTTCCCATAGATAAACTTGGTGGCTCTTTTATCTACAGTAGACATCCTGAAGTTGATATGCGTTGAGCATTAAATAGTGAACGGGGCAATTTTCGTAACTGTTGATCGAATTCAACTAATCAAGTTGCATTGTGAATCATTATCACATTCATTATGTTATAATGTTAGGTGGTTAGATGTAGCCTTTAGCACATCGTAGACATGCTTTTCGTGCTGGTTGAAGTCCGCCAAGAAGAGAAACCCATACTACCTGTGACATTGGCACCTGAGTTACTTGGGCTAGTTACTGGGGTGACTTAACATTGTTCGGTACTCAGTAATTTATCAGTGTAAATTTTTCAGTCCTATAGAAGGTAAGTTGTGACCTGAATAGCTTGATGGTAACGTCAGGGTGAAGCCGGTCATTTTCGGTTTAAGTCTTATGAGTGGCATCAGTTCTTAAGAGATTCCAAGCACGTCTTGCTCACAAATACCAATTGGCACAAAGCCCGGGTTCCCTTCCAATCGTTCAGTAGGTCAGAATACTGCCATTTGTCAAATAAGTGAACACAAGTGCAAAATCTTCGAGACATATAACAGTGCTAAACCAGTACCTTGTGCAATATTGGAGAGATATCAACAATCTCTGTCTAACAGCATAGATGAATCTTTAATTCCTGTCGATTTTAGTAATTCCTCCAAGTGCCAAATATCTAAGTCATTAATGTTTAATATCTTAAACATCATTAGGTTTACTGTTTTGCGAAATTTCGCCTACTTACTTCGTCCGTCTAAACTGTCCTCAGTAATCAATCTGGCGCTCACCTCAAGGTTCAGCAGGCATCTGTAGTCATGTGATACAAGTCCACAACGAAATGTAGACTTATGTATTCAGGTTCGAATCACAATTTCATCGCGTAATGGATGACGCGACTAGCTGGCTGCTCAAGCCAAGGTAAATAGAATAGCGCTTCTAGCCACCTACCAGTTAGGGAAGGATCTGCTCCAGGAGTCCAGATTACGTAAGGGAAATGCCACTTTCTCAGTAGGAAAGCTTAAGTTATCTCTAGTTTTTGAAAATACTTTAAAGCTATTTTAAATGCAGATGTTCGTTTTGAAAGGGTAGATTTCTGACATCCAATCGAATTGGTCATTCATTATCTATTGTCAAGGTATTCGTTTTTGAGTAGGCAAACATAAATTGTGTAGATCAAGAAAGTTGTTAGGTGAATTTGATCACTGTGCGCATATACGCATGAAACTTACTTTATTAGCTTTGTCAGATTGAGATGTTTTCTTTTGGTTCGTATTCGGAAGCTAAAATGGAAAGAAAATACGTTAATAGGTTGTTCGTCTAAAACGTAGTCGGCTAATTTTTAATTCATAACCGTAATTTCGTGAAACTAACTATTTTATCTACTATACCCAACTGTAAAGAAGATAATGTATGATTCCCAATATTGATTCATAGGTATGTGTTGCTTAGTTTCAGTTGTTTGAAGACGTCCAAATAAATAGTACAAGATTTTAATTGTACATGGGTTAAATTATAGATTATGAGTAGAATTGATTGTAAAACTCATATCCAAGTGTTTGACGCGTTGTGTTCAACATCCTCTGTTATATATGTCAACAGCTTAAAACCGAAGGTCCTGGGTTCGAATCCTGCCGGGGGCAGGAGTCATGGATGCGCACTACCACTGATGAGTCCCATACCAGGACGAAACGGCCGTCTTTCAGTGCTTCTAAGTTTCTAATGATGGTCTAACAATGATAGATTGATTGATTTATGGTTTCAGTGTGTAAAAACACTAATTGAACATATAATTAAACCGAAAAAAAAACAAACGATTAACTTACTCTACTAACTTTTTTATTTGATTTCTTTTTCAATGTTCGTAGAATAAATAAACTCACACATATTGTGATAATAGCTACTAACGACACAGCTATAATCACTGTTACTCTTTGTTCTTTCTGTATAAGTAAATAATAGCGAAAAAAAACAATATTGAGAAAGATATAATATTGTGAATTTATACATTGATATAAAATTTATGTTTTGCGTAGATTTCTTCAGAAGTTTATTTTCATAAATATCTATTATTTTATATTGAGAATGCAGTAAAAAACATTGAATTATTTTTTCAAATCTTGTTTTACTTTTTCTTATATACTGAATTGAACTAATCACAATCATTCAGAACTAATCAATAATAAATATGATTTAAGCTTTCCAATTATCTTTTTTTTTGTTTTATCTTAATTGAGCTTTAAGACTATCGTAAAATATCAGATCATCTCTATGATTGTAAAGATTGAATTGTTGTACAAGAAATCACAAAGGGAAAGTGTTTCGTTGAAACAAAGATGAAATTGTTTCATCACAATATTCAAGTCAAAAACCATTGCTGAGGAGTCCCGTATCAGGACGAAACGGCCGTCTTTCAGTGCTTCCTGGTCTCTTCTAATGGTGGTCTAACATTGATCGATTCACGGTTTCAAAAAAATGTGTAACTTAACAATCTTCACAACCCCTGTAATGCAAAAACCAATATGCAAATAAACTTGATTAATCTGACTCTTATAAAAAAAAACCTATTAGTTAGAGTATGCTTAGTAAATTCAAAGTTGATTGTACTTTGATGATTAAACAACCAACGACTAATACAGAAGAAGAATGTCAGTTCAGCGACTATTATACGATGGAAAAGTGAGCTGAATAGTTTTTTAAACACTTTTTTTCTATAGAGTTAAAGCCATACGTTAACAATCAGGTGAATGACAGTAACGATTAATATCGTGTTTTAAAGTATAAAATTTTTTATTCATCCTAATAATACTTTTTCACAGAAGTAACAATTCATTGTTTGTGGTAAAGCTGTTAAAAAAATTTCCTGGTTAAATTACTATGAACACTATACAGTCTCTTCAATGAAGTGAGTATTTTCTTAACACTTTAGATACTTGAAATACACATATTTACGGAATTTATTTTATCAGTCAATTACATCAATTGATATACTACGATCTACACACATCATTTAACCCTCAAGATTATTTGGAAATAAATGTAAAAGCAATCAGCCTTTGGAATTATTATCAGAAAACATAAGAACTCATGATAAAATCTTGAAAAAATTTTCATTCAATATGTCACATCTGATTCGCATTGTTAGCATTATGCTTGATATAATGCAACGATTATATTCCAAATTTACACTAATACACATATGCATAGTACTTAAATTGATTAGTCTTGTAAACAGAACTTTACTTTGGCCATTTAACATTCTCTTGTATTGTATGCTGACTGTTTAACTATTACGTCGGTCAGTTTAATATTTAAGTCGAAATAATTCTCGACCATATACACAATGTGTTCTTGAACAGACAACATTGACTACATTGTATTCGTTATTGGCAAAACATGTTTTACAATCTGAGAAATGTGAATGTTCAGTGTTTTTGGAACCAACTTACACTATTTTTGATCTATGAATTTCAATAATTCACGATTGAAATTTCAAATAAGAGATTCAAATATAGATGCATCAAGCCAAGAAAAAAATTGTTCCTTAAAAATTGAACACAGTTACATTTATCCTACTAATGAATTGATAATGTTGATGCTGATAAGTGTATATATATGTGTTAATTTTATCAATAAACGCACTATTATGCTGATATCTTTAGTGAAAATATTTTACAAGTATCGGTATTAATGCTACTCACGAAAGTTTGCCCATTTTCGTTCTACTAATTAATAATGACTAAAATTCTGGTTATTCAGTCAGTCAGTCAGTTACAACGTAGAACTTCATAAGTAAGTACGTCAATTCAAATCCTATAGTGAAAGAGATAGTAGAAGAATTACTGCTAATGGAGAAGATCCGGATTTGAAGATAATATTCAAGAATTCTAATTCAGTGAGATAAGTTTAGAAAGACAAATGTAGAGGTGTTGATTAGGATTTGAGAGAACGCAAAGAGTGCATTCACCTGCGCCATTCCAAACGATTATGAGCCATGTCATTCAAGGTCTCCAACCATCGGTGACATTCGTCTCGCAGACCCCAACCACGTAGCCTACATCTACCAACATGATCCAGTCCACTTGTCAGTGACTTCATGGATTTCTGCCATGTTTTGGTGTGGCCGCCCATAGCTTTCGTCCAACCTACCCCTACATCACAAAACGTAGCTCGTCGATGCAGTCGGTGGTTGGACGTTCGTAACACATGTCCTAACCACCTCAACTGATGAAGTTAAAGTACTTTATCAGTTGATCTGCCATCCCTACCTAGTACTCGCTTCCTGATGGCAGCATTGCATACATCATACTACATTCTGGTTAGAATGTAAACTGATACCTAACACAACATCATAAACTTCTGCATCATTTAAATAAATTACATACATGTGAAATAGATCATCAGTATGTACAATAAATTATGAGAAATTTACTACACGCATAATACCATTGATCGGCAAATTGCCAATCATATACATCAACATTTTCAACTATTTGTTTCTGACACATATCAAGGAATCAAACTTGCGAATAAAATTCTCAATCGACTGTCATTAGACTATTTCAGTCTATTCGTTTAAAAGCTTAAACTCAACTACCTTTTGTTTACAGGCTTAGTAAATATAATTCTGGAGAAGATAAACATTTACAATTGATTAATCACTGGTTAGTGACTAGTGTTATATATGTCAGTCGAATTCTATCTATCAAGTTGCAATGTGCCTACTAATCTACGTAACTCAACATTTCATTCACTATGTTGAAATGTTTTAGGTTAATGACTGTATACTATTAGTGTATAGTTTTAAGTCAGGATGAAACAAACATTCAGGAATAATAAACTGATGTAAGCTAGACCATCAGTAGAAAACTGGAGTCACTGGTTGGCTGTTTCATCCTAGTCTGGGACATTAACTCAATGGTCTCGAAGGTAAGCAATCATGCGCGAGGCCGAAGGTCCTGTGTTCGATCCCCACTTCCACACAAATTCCCTTAGTTTAAAATATTCAGGACTATTTCATACTCTTTTAGATCAGATAAGTTTATACTAAAGATAATAACTCTTTTCGGACAGAAATTTGAAAATTCGAACATATATTCGACTAATTTACAGAGTTTACAATCACCCTCTCACCAGCCAGTCAGTTAGAACGTAGGATGTCGTACGTACATACATCAGTTCAAGTTGCCATATCGCATTAGCACAGAGACGCAATTGTCAATTCAAATCTTGTAGTAGTAGAGGTAGTAGAAGTATCAGCAATAATCGGAGTATTAGGGTTTGAATATATCATTCAGGAAGTATAATCTAGTGAAATAAAGATAAAAAGAGAAAGATAAAGGTGAAGAAGAATTCATAATCATCATTGATCTATCCTTCGAAACCTTAATGATTTATAAATCGTAAGGAAGTTGGAAATGTCTTGTATTTGCTTGAATTTTGATATATTTGACTAGTAGGATGATTTGGAAAGAGAAATCTGAATTGAAATGCACCAGCCAAGATAAAACTTAGAATGAAAGAAGGTAAGAATAACTGAAGATTCAGGAATGGAGAACAACCTAGCCCTCGAATCCAAGGCGCGCGTTTCGTCCTATCTGGGACTCATTATCTCGATTTATAATGCCTGTGACCTAATGGCTATAACGGGGCAATCTGCATAGAATACGCATATACCAAATAAGACTGATCAAGTGCAGTTCTAACTGATAATCGGAAAATTCAGACTACCAATACAAATGAATCAAAGATTCACTATACTATTTAGGAAAAATTTAAACTTAGACTGTTTATAAGAACTCAACTAAATGGTTAAAATTAATAGTTATTATAAGACGTTTTTGATAATTCATATTATTGAATATGAATGTAAAGTACCTATGAGAGTCTTAATGGCTAAATGTTAATTTGCATATATATTGGTTCGATAAAAAACTGAAAAGTGTTTCTTGCTTATTTTGACTTCCCTTCCATATATTGGTCCTGCATGAGGTCAGTCGCAACTCAGAAAGCTAATTGTGAAGCTGGGTGGCGCGGGATAGAGTCCAGCAAAGAGCATTAGTCACCTTGCTGACGAGGGCTGCATAGCACAAAACCTAGGTCCAGGGTTTTCTCTCAACTACTTTGAACAATCATACAAAAAAGAAATATATTTTTTTTCGGAATTTATCTCATCACGGTTGAGCAGGTGACTCAGCGAGACATAAAAGTGATATTTCGAATGCATCACTGATATCACACTTTCAACTGAAAATCGATATATCCTATTGTCAATCAGATTCTGACCTATTGATAATTATGGGTGTTAGCACCAGGTAATTCAACAACAATGCTTAAAATACAAAAATATTAGATATAAAAAGGAATTAAGCAACTCTACAAAAGTATATGTTAATAAATGAATAATAGTTTCTTCATTTCATTAAGAGTTTTATAATTCCATGAATATTTTTGAAAATTATAAGCAACCAAGCTAACAGTGTAATCTGAGAATTCTAGGCCTAATATCCCATCGATCAGTACGGGCTATCTACATGACAGTTAACAATTATGATAAAGCAATTCTTCCCATAATGCTTGATAATCAGTAGTTTTTTTAGCTAATACTAATTGGTGATGAAAATTTCATTTATATTTTAATTTCATTCATATATTGTGCTATGACTTGTACAGTTGTTGTATGCTAATATCATTCAAAGTTCAATGAATTGAAACGAGAATAATTTTGAAGTAACAATCAATGAAACATGAATGAAATTATTGTTAAAAACAAAAACTGGTGAACATCATAGAAACAAGAGTCATAGTGATAACAATAGTAATTCTTTGAAGACTTATAAACAAAGTTACATTGTTTAACTGAACTAAAGATAATATAATAGTAATAATAATAATAATAATATTAGTATGTAGTTAGTTAAAATAAACATCCATATTTTAATTA